GAGTCGGGCGCCCGCGCGGGGCCACCGGGACGGCTCATCGGAATGCACGTTCCCGGGCCCCGGCGCCGGAGCCACCGGCGCGAGGCGGGGCCCCGGCTCCGGGGCTTTTGCAAACCCGCCAGGTGATTCTGACGCAGGCGCTCCACTGGAACCCTCCGAGAATTCTGGGGGCCATGGGGCTGCCGGGGCTCCGTCCCGAGCTCCGGGACGCCGGGAGGAGCGCCCGGGATCCGGCCAGGTAGCGCCAGGATCTCCGGCCCGGGATCCAGGGATCCCCCGGAGCGGAGAGTGAGGCGTGGACGCCCCCGGGGCGGGGGGCGCGGGGCGAGCGGCTCAGCACCCGGCTGCGGACGCTTGCCTCCACCTCCCGCCAGGTGCTAGCGCGGCCCCGCGGCACCAGCTCCGGGGAGGCGCCCCCCAGCCCCTCCTTACCGGGGCGGAGGCCATGGGAGGAGCGGCCGGCGCCGGGCTCCAGCCGGCGGGGGGGACCGGGGGAAGGAAGGGGACGGGACGGGAAGGGGGGACCGTGCGGCGCCCGGAACCGTCTGCCCAGAGCGGCGGCGCCTCCCGGTCACTACAACAACGGCGACCCAGTCAAACCCCGCGCTCCAGGCGTGGCCAGTCGAGCCCCGAGGCGGCGCCCGCGCCGGAGGAAACCGTGCCCAGGCCAGCAGGCAGGCGGGACGCTCCAGGGTCAGGTGTGACAACGCACGAAAGCCAACGTTTACTAACACTCGCACTGCCCGCGGCTTGAAACCGTGAAAGAGGGCAGTCACCGCGGTGGCAAGGAGACCGAGGCGAGGGAGATGGCAAGGAGTCTGTGATCGATGCAATCGGAGTTCGATTACACGTTAAAGAGACAGCGCCCAGGAATTTGAAGAGGGTCCCCGACAGCTTAATGACTGGGGAAGGGAGTTTGGGTCTGAAGTGGGGCAGCTTGCTAAGTATTCATATACGCACAGGAACTAAACCTCTGGAGGACAGATTTTAATTTACTTAATCACTATTTTTCACACAATACCCTTCGTGATATAAATGCTGGAGAGATGAATGAATGAATGAATGAATGAATGTTGTGCATCTACTTAATGTTTTTTCTGCTATGTGTTTCTATTCTAATCTGCTCGTTAGTGTATGCTTTAGAGCAGCCAATTTCCTCGGCAACAAGTTTAAAGTCTGCAGGAAGCCTTAGAAAGAAACTTTTTGTTTTGTTTAAATTATTAGGCTACATAGTAATATAGCCATTTGTATAGCAGGCTTTCTTACACACAATATCATTGGCGTTTCGGCAACGCCATGGCGCTGATGCAGTTATAAAATGTTACCAACGTTTGCAAATTGCAAACTTGATTCCTAGCTAGTTTACATATAATTGTCAAAGATTACAAAGTCAGATCTTCCAATTCTAAACCCATATTCTCTTTCCCCCTACCTCAAAGCATGAAAGACTAGGCTGAAAATTACATATAAAATAAACATTCTTGGCAGCAAAAAAATGACGTAATAGACCACAGCCGGTAAGACACATATTCTATGTAAATGAAAGGTATAGTACACACCTTAATTGTGGGTTCTCTAGTTGTCTAGTGATAGAATTTAGTTTTAGTAAATACCGCACATAGCAATTAAACAAACAGGAAATAGCTTTAGGTTTCAGTATTAGTTCAATTCAAGTATAAATTTGCTGACTATCTCCTGTTTGGCTCTGAGGGGTACACAGGTGACTGAGACATTTTCACTGCCCTCAGGAACTCAACAGACTAGGTTTCTGAGTCTCATATTTTAGTATGTATAACGATGATTTAGGGGACCCCATTCCCAGAGATGCTGATTCAACATGCATAGGGTGGGATCGGGGCTCTATAAATGTAATAAAGAAGTCTTAGCTGTGTACATTGAGAAACATTGCTGTAGTCTAGGAGGTGATGTATCAAGAGTGTCGATACCAGCAACTTACCAACAAACTGTGACAGGACTCTGAGCTTTGCTGCTTATTCCCAGACTAGGTTTGACTTCAAACAAACAAACAAACAAACAAACAAACAAACAAGACTGACACCTGACATGCTTAAAAATAATGCTGGATGCTGGTTTGTGTGTAAAACGTTGTAGCTCTGTGGAAAACAGTTGTGCAGTTCCTCAAAAAATTAACTCCTAGGCATATAACTCCAAACATATTGAAAGCAAGGGCTAGAACAGATACTTGGACATCAAGGTTCATAGGAACATTGTTCACAACAGTCCAAAACTGGAAACAACTCACATGTCTAACAATGAATCTATAAAGAAAATGTGGTATGGACATACAATGACTGTCATTTGGTCATAAAAAGGAATGAGATTCTGATACATACCACAACATGAGTGAAATCTGAAAACATTATGCTAACTGAATAAGCTAGACACAAAGGCTAGTTGGATTCATAGAGACAGAAAGTGGAATGGAGGCTGCCACAGGTGCGAGGATAAGAGAGAATGGAGAATTACTGTCTAATCAGAGCCGAACTTCTGTTTGAGGTGATGATGTTCTGGAAATAGAGATGGGTGATGGTCCAAAACAGTGTGAATGTACTTAATGCCAGTGAATCGTACATTTAAGAATAAAGTTTACATTTTATTTTAATGTATATTTGACTACAATAAAAATAATAATTCTAGAAACTCTGAGGAATGACCAAGACCTCATTATTTCTCATAGCCAAGATATGTCTGATCTTGGGTATAGCAGATTACCAGAAAAGGAATAAGGTAAAAATGTAGAAACTAGTTCAAAAGAAAAGTTTTAAAGTACAGATTTTTCTCTAAGTCTTTTAGTAAAAATACAATTAAGCTTTTTTTCTAGTTATCAAAAAATATATCACCTATTGGGCCATTACCTAAACGTAGACTTAATTATTATTATTATTATTATTATTATTATTATTATTTTTCAGAGCGCTTGCAGGTCTCAGTCAGTCAAGCAGTCTTCATGTTTGGCTAAGGGCTAAGGTCACCATCTTGCAGCAGCAGTTTGTGAGTTCCAGCCGGCTCTGTGCTGACAGCTCAGAGCCTGGAGCCTGCTTTGGATTCTTTGTCTCCCTCTCTCTCTGCCCCTCCCCTGCTCACACTGTCTCTCTCTCTCTCTCTCTCTCTCTCTCTCTCTCTCTCTCTCTCTCTCAAAACTAAAAAAAAAAAAGAAAAGGAAAGAGAAAAAAATTAAACAATTTTTTAAATAAAATACTTTTTTCATATACTTATGGTGTGCTCACTACATGCTAAATGCTCTTCTAAGTACCTTGCAAATTTTGACATTCAATCGTCATAAGAATCTTGTCAGAGAGGTGCTCTAATCACCATGTGCATTCCTCTATGAGGAAACTGATGTGCGGAGACATCAAGTTACCTGCTCCAGGTACACAGCTAGGCAGTGTAGATTTTAGTCAGTGCCTCCAGACCCCATTCTTAGTTACTAAGTCCTGATGCCTTTTGCATGGTTGCAGGCATATTGCAAACATGTAAAATTCTGTATCCTAGCCTAACAGTAAATTTTACCCCCCCCCCCCCACCAAAAGGAACTTGTTTCCATTCCACTGTTCTCTTTTATTAGTCCAATGGCCCCTCCCATGGTTCTTTTCCATATTTGATTTGATTTTGTTTTGTTTGTTGTTCCTCACCTTTGCAAACCAGCAAAATGTCAGAGATAGATATTTAGAAACATGGCCAAAGTTGGGGATATATATATATATATATATATATATATATATATTTTTTTTTTTTTTTTCTAACCTCAAGCCTGCTTGAATTCATGTAATAGCACTTGTCACAATAATTTGGGACCACTCTCAAACGGTAAATTTATTAATCTGGAAGAAAGCCACAATAATCCACAAAATTTAAAAATCTATAGGCTATCATTGGGGGCAAGGTACTGCATAAGACAAAACTGATCGTTTCATTAGCTCTCCTTTTCCAGATTCCCTTCAGATTAGAAACTGACCATCTGTACTTGAGCACTATAAAAATTTGTTTTTATGTTAGCAGGAGTCATTCCTGGGTTGGTTCCCTTCGAGGGTTGAAAATTCAGGGATAGCACACAAGTGCCATCTACTGTTCACCTTCCTGTGTGGTTACTTGGAATGAAACTACTTTGTAGCCTGTTTGCAGGCAGTGTAACTTGTGGCTACAGTTGCTCCAGAGTATAGGAGCGTACCTAGAAAGGAAGTACCACATCTGTTTGAATCATGAAAGCATTAGCCTTTTTTTGGTTTTGTTTTGAACACCACCAATGATTTATTTCAATCAACATTCAGTCTCCAAATCCTATCCATGGTATCCTCCCAATAGAATTTATCTTCCCATCTTTCTGTCCTTATGTCTTCTGCCCTGCTACAGGCCGCCCTCTTCCTCTGCCTCCCAGATCATTTCAGTAACAAGAGCAAAAATTAATAAGTGAGACTATAGCAACCTAAAAAGCTTCTGCGCAGCGGAAAGAAACAAAATGTACAGGCAACCTCACGCTGTATTGGATCCTTGAAAGTTGACATGATAGATAGTAGAGCTTCAACGTTTTTACCATAACAGCAACAACAATAAAAACAAAATGGCAATGATGCGT